AGGAAACCTTCAATGTTCTTAGATCGTACAACATGAAGCTGAACCCCAAGAAGTGCGCTTTTGGCGTTGGATCGGGAAAGTTCTTGGGTTTTATGGTCAACCAAAGGGGAATTGAGGCAAACACCGACAAAATCAAAGTCATTCTCGACATGAAAGCACCTTCCTCGACCAAGGAGCTCCAGCGCCTCAATGGGAGAATTGCAGCACTAAATAGGTTCATCTCCAAGTCTGTAGACAAATGCTTGCCTTTTTTCAAAATTCTCTGAAAAGCATTTGAGTGGGGGCCTAAGGAAGAGGAAGCCTTCCAAAAGCTTAAGGCCTACCTGGCTACACCTCATCTCCTCTCACATGCTACACCAAGTGAGACATTATATGTGTACCTCTCTGCTTCCACATCGACGGTGAGCTCTGTCCTCATCAGAAACCACGATGGAGTACAAAAGCCCATCTATTATATGAGCAGAGCCTATCGAGGAACAGAAATTAGGTATTCAAGGCTAGAGAAGCTAGCACTCGCCCTCATCACAACAACTAGGCATTTACGGCATTATTTTCAGAGTCACACCGTTGTCGTGATCACAGATCAGCCTCTAAAGAAAGTCTTGGAAAAACCGAATGTATTTGGGAGACTCCTCAAGTGGGCAGTGGAACTTAGGGAGTTCGACATTCAATACCAACCAAGGGCGGCCATTAAAGCACAAGCATTAGCGGATTTTGTTGTTGAGCTTACACCAGTAAAAGAGGAGAATAATAAGGCATCCAAACCAAGCACTCAGGACAGCACAGGTGCCTAGGCGCCCAGGCCCCTCTTGGAGACCAACTCTCCTCTCCAAGCGCCCAGCTCTCCTCCTTAGGTGCCCAGAACTCCTCTCCAGGCACCTAGCTCTCCACCTCAGGTGCCCATGTATTCTTAGGGGCTCAGTCTAGCGTCCAGACTCGTAGTGTAATCTCCGAGCCCTCCTCTCTACCACTCTAGAAGCTCTATGTAGATGGCTCCTCAACTAGCAAAAGAGGAGGAGGAGGCCTAATCTTGATCAGCCCAAATGGTACTCCCCTCAAGTATGCAATGAAACTCCACTTTACTTCTTCCAATAATGAAGTGGAATACGAAGCCCTCCTCTCTGGATTAAGATTGGCGGCTGAAATGGAAGCCCACCACCTCACCACCTACAGTGACTCTCAACTGATCATTAATCAAGTAAAGGGCGAGTTCGAAGGAAAAAGAACCAGAATACAGGAATACCTTAGCATGGTGAAAAGCTTTATCACAAAGTTTCAATACTTCCAAATATGTCACATCCCAAGAGAAGACAACATGGCCGCTGATGCACTTGTCAGGCTCCCCTCATCCTTGGAAGCCCCACCAGGAGAACCAGCATTAATTGGTCACCAGTTCAGACCAAGCAAGTTAGATATGGAAGCTATAAACGTCAATTGTGCATTGGCTGAGTCAAACTGGATGACCCCGATAAGGGTGTACCTCCAGGAAGGTGTGTTGCCAGACGACCCTCTAGAAGCTAGAAACCTTAGGATGAGAGCCTCCAAGTTTACTATCCTACAAGACACCCTGTATAAAAAAGGCTACTCCTTACCATTACTGAGATGCCTCTCCCCTGAAGAAGCTGACTATGCCATGCGGGGGATCCATGAAAGAGTTTGTGGAAATCACTCTGGCGCTCCCTTGCCCACAAGGAACTCAGAAAAGGCTACTTCTGTCCTAGAATGATGAGGGACACCCAGGAATTTGCCAAAAAGTGCGACAAGTGTCAACACTTTGCCACTGTGCAAAGGCAGCCACCAAAGGAACTCATAGTCATCACAAGTCTATGGCCCTTCTCCAAATGGGACATCGACATCTTGATCCCCCTACCTCTCAGTAGAAGACAATGCAAGTTCGTGGTGGTAGCGGTGGACTACTTCACTAAATGGGCGGAGGCAGAACCCCTATCAAAGATAACAGACGCAAAGGTGAAAGATTTCATTTGGAAAAACTTGGTCTGTCGCTTAGGGATACCCCATGCCATTGTTAGCAACAACGCTAAATAGTTTAACAACAAGCTACTGAACTCCTTCTACTCTGACCTTTAAATAAAGCAGCCCCATTCAAACCCGGCGCACCTGTAGGCAAACGGACAAGTGAAAGTTATGGTGAGAACGGTGCTATGCAACCTAAAGACCAAGCTTGAAAAGGCAAAAGGATCTTTGGGTTGACAAGCTCCCAGGTGTTTTGTGGCCCTACCATATCACACCAAGAGCTCCAACTGGAGAAACTCCATTCTCCCTTGCTTTTCGAACTAAGGCAGTCATCGCTGGGAAAATCAGGGTGCACTCTCTAAGGGTTCAACACCATGATCCCATCACAAATGAGGAAGGACTCTGCCTCAACCTTGACTTAGTAGAGGAGGCAAGGGAGATGGTTGCGGTCCACAATGCAGTGTACAAGCGCCGCATGGTAAAATACTACAACTCGAGGGTAAAGCCTCGTTCCTTCCAACAAAGAGACTAGGTCCTCAAGAAAGTGATACTCACCACAAAGAGTTCATGCGAAGGAAAGCTGAGACCAAATTGGGAAGGACCATACCTCATAACAGAAGTGGTGAGGCCGGACACCTACAAAACACAAAGTTCGGAGGGGAAGGTTTTGCCCCATCCATGGAATGATGAGCACTTAAAGAAGTACTATCAGTGACACCTTGAGAAAGTAGAAAAGTTGGGGACTTGATTTTATTTTTTACTCTTTTGTGGGGCTATTACCCGATATTGCTTTATATGAGCAGAAAAATGAATAAAATTTCTAGATTTACTTCAAAAAGATCTTTGCATTTTCATATTCACCTTCTCAGCTTCAAAGTAGCATTAGTGGCAAAAACCCCTTTTACAAAAGTATGGCTGCAAAATGCCATTTCAAAAAACAAAAAAATAATAAAACAAAAAACCAAAATGTCTCTAGCACACTAACTACTCATAGTCATCATCCTCCTCCTCATCGTCACCCTCGGCATCGTCAGAATCTCCACCACTGTCATCAGGCGCCTCAGTTGGTAAGAAGCCTGAGACATCAATATCAGGAAAAACAGCAAAAATCTTTCCCTGAAGCTCCTCATAACCATCAATAAAGGCGTCTGCAAGGCCACTCTCAAAGCCCCTCTCAACTATCACAGCCCTCTCTCCTCAACCTGGGAAGCCCTTTCCTCAGCCTATGAAGCCCTTTCATATCTGCCTCTGTGGCAGCCTCTCTGAGCATGGCCCTCTCATAGACCTCTGCAAACTCAGCCTCGACCTTGGCCGGCCTCCCATAGGCCGTCGAAAGCTCAGCCTCACTGAGCATGGCCCTCTCACAGACCTCCACAAGCTCAGCCTCGAGCCTGGCCATCCTCTTATGGGTCGTCAAAAGCTCAGTCTCAAGACCAATCGCCCTCTCATGGGTTGCCACAAGGTCAGCATCGGAAGCCTTGCCAGTAGCTTCAAGTTTCGTGATCCTCCGCTGAGCAGCAAGAAGCTCATTTTGTACCACTTCATGATCGTGTTTTAGCTTGTGATAAAGGAGGGTCCTTGAAAATAAACACATAGTTGCAGTGGAGGCCTAGAGAGAAACAGAAGGCAAAAGAATGTCATAAACTTATGGAAGGAAGGGAGAAAGAAGAGAGAACAAACCCTTACATGATCCTAGCCTTCTAGGAAAGAGTTGAGGATCCCCTCGGTGCCCAAGGCACTAATCTCATTCACATCATTGGTGAACAAAACCTTTCCAAGTCGATCCCTAATGACCTGCGCATTACCCAGCATGGAATTAATCTAAGAAGGTGCCCTAGAAGAAGTCCCCACAAGAGGAGTAGATGAATGGGGGGCAAAAGGTGTGGCCAACAAACGAGACTCTAGAAGAGATTCTAGGGCAGGAGATGCAGCTGTAGGAGCCTCTGACCATGGAGGCACCACTGGATTGGTCACTTGATGGGAGGGCACTCGAGGTGTTAGTGGAGGGGTTAACTGGGAAGAGCTCATCTCGGGCAGCATTGTTGGAGAGGCCACCTGGGAGGCATCCTTCGTCCTCGCCACCTTAGAAGGAGGAGGACTCCTACTAGAAAGGTGAGACTCAATCATCTCCCCTGTATATTGCTCCAAAGAAAATAAAGTGTTATCTACGTGAAAGTACCAAGTGAAGGAGAAGAAAAAAAAATCGACTCACCTTTCCTCTTTGAAGAAGAGCCACTAGACTTCGAGGAGGGAGTAATGGTCCTAGCATTCTTAAGCAAGAGGACTCCCAAGTCCTTGTTAGGATGAGCCCTCACGGCCTGCAATTTTCACTCTTGGTCTTTGGAGAGCACAGACGGATCTGCAAGAGGATGATGAGCAACAAAAAAAAAGAGCAAAAGAGAGAAAACAAATATGTGACATATCAAGTTTCTTAGGGACACCCCATCCTCTCGGTACCAAAGCCCGATCGGCCTCTGCAGCCCACTCTCTACCGACAAATATAAAGCGAGATTTTCAACTATAGCAGTTGGACCGTAAACCAGTAATCAACTTGTCTCTCGTGGTAAAGTAATACCAAACCCGATTAGGAACAGGGGTCTCGCTCACAGTATAAGCTCCATGAAACTCCTCAGGAGAGGCATCCTCGTGGTGCACTTTCCTCCCCAAATACAAGAAAATCCAAGAGGACTCTCCAACCATTGGGTGACAATCGCCCCGAGGTAAGGGAAAAATAATGAAGAATACTGCAAATAGAAGGAGATATAGGGAACCTAAGCCCAGCCTCCAACATTTCCTCATAGATGACAATGTCACCAGAGGAATCATCAAAGGAAGGCTCACCCATCTCGGCTCGACAGCACAGCATAGTCGGAGGGATGTGGTAGGCGAAGACAATTCGCAAAATATCGGCATCCGTATCTAAAGTGCTAGAGATGGTATTTACCTTGGACCCATCATCAGCTACTTTGCTTTGTTGTTTTTTCTTGCGAGAGTGCAAAGTATGGCCGGTGCCATTCTGAGGGAGCCCTTGTGAAGTCAGGGGACCCAAGCCAGCCTCAGGCTCACCCAAAGAATCCCCATGCTCACCCAACGCCTGAGCTGCACGCCCAACTGTCCCGCACGTGGAAGCGGCTCCCAAGGTCTCCTCCTCCCTCTCTTTTCCTTTGCCTAATGGGCTACCAAGCACACCAGATGCCAAAACCTTCCTCTGCCCACACCTTTGCCCCATCACACGGACATTGTGTTCGCCCAGACCATTCAGTGTAGCAGCTAGAGTGGTGCCTAGATGGCTGTCCAGTCCAGCGCCTAAAGTGGCGCTCAAATTTCTATTTGAATCAGCGCCTAAAGCACCCAACTCTTTCTCCTACTCGCCTGCCACGTGAGCTGCACGCCCCCCTCCGCGACCAGCAAAGGCTCCCAGCACCTGGACAGTAGCGGCGCCTGCTCGCCCGATGCAATGGGCTCCCTTCGTTCTCTCCTTTATCCCGCCTTGCTCGCCCAACACATGAGCTGCTCGCCCATCATGAACCATAACAATTTGCTCCTCCGCCATAGCCACCCCCACATCGGATAGCACCATGGACGCACGAGCAGCGACGATGGACGTCCCAAGCATCTCCACGTCGACGTCTACCTCATCCTCCATCTCTCCTTGGATCACTACAACAACCCCATGATTACTTCGTTTATTCGCCATGGATTCCTAACACAATTCCTTAAAGGATTCTTGGAAATAAAAGCCCTTTTTCACTTTCTCTAGTTGCAATGGAATGAGTAAAGTGGAGAGAGCAACTATTTATACCTAGGGTTTTTTGAAAACAAGGAAAAGGCAAAAAGACCCATTTCAAAACCAAGGGCTTTTCTAGAATTCAAAAGGGGGAATAAAAGGAAGTGTTTATGTAGTTGGAGGCGTCCTACAGAGCTAAAATATATATCATAAAAGAAGGAGGAGCCTTGGTATGTAATTCAAAAAACTGTTTTAAGGTCCGAGGGCATTGCCCCCGAGCCCCTGCCACCTGACCGTGCAGGTGGAACCCCGCGACCTGTCCGGGTAGATCAATCCCCATTGTCATAGCGCAACATGGACGTAGCGGGTGAGGAGTATTCTTGGGTCAGAATTCAAATTCAGTTGAATGCCCACTTCTCCAAATTTCATTGGACATGAGGCATTGGGGGCCAAATGATGGGTCAAGACCAAATGGCTCAATCCATGGGAAAAAGCCCAAGCTAATAGAAGACCAAGCAAGCCCCCTATGAGGTCCAAGTCGGTCAAGCCCATCAAGGAGCTACGGGAGCATCTAAGAGCTATACCCTTGCCCGTTGAGGAAGAGGAGAGGTCGTCAAGAAGAAGAGAGGTCATCAGCTATTAAGTTGTCTCCAGTCCGTTATAATCGTCAAGCTACTCAATTACTATGCAGGCTTCTATAAATTGTAAACTCCCCCAACACTTTGAGGGCATCTCATAAAATTCAAGCTTATCCCCTCTCCCTCTTGTAATTCTTGCTCTCCCAATGTACCGGAGTCAATAAAATTTCCGGCAAACCTAACCATTGAGAGTGGACGTAGGTCTCATTAGCCGAACCACTATAAATCTTGTCTTCTCTCTCCCTCTACTTACTGCATTTTATATTGTTTAATTGACAGGTGGTGTAAAAATCAATTTGTGCATCATCAAAGTAGACCACAGCTCAAATCATTGAACAAATTGTTTTTGCTAGTTATATGTATATACCAAAATTAATTTCATTTATTTTTTCAATAATAATCTAAAGAGTGAAAAAAGGAATATAGTAGGTTTAGGAGTTGTTTGAAAGTGTGTTGTAAAAGTAGGAGTCAATTGTTGGCTTAGGCTAAAAAGAAGAGGAGGTCCCAACGTGAGGTGAGGACCATTTTCCTTTCTTTTTCTATTCCAAACCTCTGCAAGTAGAAAGCTTTTCCTTTAGTAGATCGGACACAGAAAAAGACTAGTGTCCGGTTTGTTTTACATCGTCATCTAAATATTCTTCCTAACATTTTTTTCCTCAATTCAAAAATGGTGCTTGCAGGTGTTGAAGTTTGACCGGCATATGCCGACTAGAAGGATGTCACCATATTCTTTAAAGAAAAAATGTTACATAACTCAAATAAAACTCACAAAATATAACTCAAATGCATATAATCTCTTTAATGAGTGAGTCACACTGAAAAAGTTGACTAGACCAACTAATCCAATGGATAATATGCATTTAGGGTGCAATTTTTTATAACGAGTAATATTTTTTGGATAAATAGTAAGATTTGATTATGGTATTGAAAATTAATTTTTTGGTATCTTATTCTTACTTTTCATTCGGTAAAATCATACGTGTGTAATATTTCTTATTTTATTATTTTACATTACTTTGTAACTTTCTGCTAATCAATGTCTACAAATTAATCTATATCTATCTATATCTATATCATATCTATATTACTAATAAATGTCAACATCTGTGAAAAAAATTTGATTTCTTATTTTATCCTTAATTATTATATTAAAGTCAATTATACCTACGTATATATTTTCATCTAATTTTTTTCACATCTATTTAACTTTTAACTTATTTTGAGCTATTTTATAAGGATTTGTAAATTCTTTGAACTCATTTATTAACAGTACACTTACATACAATTATCTACATCTATATATAGAAGTAAAGTCCTATACAGTCAAATATATGTTATATTTTTTGTATGCAATAATAATAATATAATAATATTACAAGTGATTTAATAAACCTATTTAAAAAATAAAAATTAATAATTCTATAATATATAATTAAATATCAAAATGTCTAAAGGGGTCAGAGAGATATCTAAATAAATGACTTATTAAATACTAAAAAACTTATAAAGTAAATAAATAATTAAATTTAGTAATATTTAACATACAGATTAATTATTTGGCACCTAATTTATTATTTAATTTAATTACACAAATAATCCATATTTTCTATAAAAATGATATCATTAAATTTGTTTACATTCAACGAACATCGTGCTTTGCTAGTTAAACTAAAATCTACTATTCAAGATTAATTTTTGTACAGTACTCCTATTTTGTTTGGGTATCCTAGACTTATCCTAAATATTATATTAGTATTATTGAATTAATATTGGACTAATTTAATATCATCAATGACTAATTTAACTATAAGAGTGGATTTGACTGTGAATTTAGTGTAAACGCAATTATCGTATGATAAGTGTCTATGAGTAATGGCAAAATCTACGTTAAAACTAGATATTGAATGCATTTTATGTAGTAGAAATTTGGTCCATTTGAGGAAAACTTCAAGCCATAAAGGAAATTTTGCAATAAATTCAACTTTAAAATACGGATTCTTGGAAATCTCTTAATGCAATTCCAAATCTAAATTCTGTATTTTCATTCATTAAATATGTTCAAACAATAGCAAATTGTTTATTTTAAGAACAGTGAGTTCTACCAATATTATAATTCCAGCTAGTTTTGTTCTTGTAGTTGTGGATATTGTTGAAACAAATATATCTCTGGGGTCGTCGCTATGTTTGAAACTTAATCGTAGGAATTGCACTGTAATACTAAAAATTGCTTCAAGTCTTATACGAGAACACTTTTCTAAAAATAGTACTTGCTCCCACCAATTGCTTAGAGAGGTGTGCACTGAGAATTCCGCAAATTTGTTTTCAAGATATAATGAAACTTCTTAAATCTGTCTGCGTATTGCACTTACGAAGCCAGAAGAATCGATTTCATTCCACTTTTGATTCAAAGAATTGTGCTTAGCCCCCCGGCTCCTAAATACCTTAAAAAAAATCAAATAGCTAATTTCTAGTATTCTAACTCTGTAGAATATAGAATACTAAATATAATATAAAAGAATAGATGTATATGAATTTGGTAGAATTGAGAAGTAGAATAAGAGCAATTCTAGTAAGAAGTAAGAATTGTTCAATAGTATTGGTATGTTTTTTGGGAGTGCAAGACATCACCTATTTATAAGCTCACTAATAGCTTTTTATAAAGGGTACAAATTATATATAATGGTGTCTTTTGATTCAAAATGTATCAATGATGACTATACAAAAAAGTACAACCATTTGAAATAGTGTTTTTTAACCAAAAAGTATTCATGGTAGCTTTTATGAAAAGATGTAACTATTTAGATTAAGGTCTTTAGTCAAAAGCCACTAACCTTGAATTAGTGATATTTCATATGTCATTTTTATTTCACTTATTTCCAATTTCTCTCAAAAGTCACAGAGTTTTTCAAAAAAAATCATCCAAAAAAATATTTATTTTGACAATACTTTAACTTTCCCCTATCGTTGTCAAAATAATGCATAGGAACAAATGGCTAAATGGAAGACTTATATATAGGTGATGGTATCTTAAGATTTGAACCAATCACTTAGTGAAAATTAGTTGGTGCAAGCGTGCGTTGCACGCCAACTATTTTGATTTTTTGTAAAAAAAAAAAAGTAAATAAATTGAACTAGTTTTCTTTACATTTATATGAAAATGGTTATTGAATTTTATGGGAGCTCACTTGTCTACTTGTTCTCTTGTTAGTGGACGATTACACAAAATGACATTTCTGTCTGGGGTAACTGTTACTTTCAAAATTATTTTCATATTTTGGGTTGTATGAACTGAATTGCATAAGTTTCAAAAAAAATTGAATTGCATTTAAAAACTATAATGTTTAACTTCAATGAGTGATTAATAGATGGATAATTGTTGATTTTTTGGATTAATAATAAGTTACTACAATAGGTTAAGTCTTTTTATCTTTTTAAGGATAGTACTATCAATTAAGTTTTTTTGACAACTATTGACATTCAAAAGTAGTTTATAGACTATTAGATCTATTTAAATATTTATTTTTAATGAATTTGGATATGCACTACGTACCTATAAATATATATATGAACATATGATGTAATTTGGTGATTATTTAATAAATTGAGTAGAAATTCATTTGTTATATGTTAAAATTGTCTCTAATCAACTTAGTTGGATCAGAACAGATGTCTATTTTAACAGACTCATATATGCACTGTGAAAAATAAAATTCGTTTGACAACTGAATTGGATTTGGGTCACATTGTTCAAATCAGATTTAGATCAAATTTATATTATTTGGAAAGAAGATAATCAAAAGCCAAACAATGAATTTATTAGTTGAATTAATGAAACTAATAAAAAATAAAAAATATCCTCAAAAATAGATAAAGTAGACATTATAGATTTTTTTAAAAATAAATAGGAAAATCAAAGTTTTCTTTTAAGCCACTTTAAAAAAGATAAAGTAGACATTATAGAATTATTGAAGGATAAATAAAGAAATCAAAAATCTTTCACTTAAGCCACTTTTATTAGTTGTATAGATATATCAAAACTAATCGGGAAGGCATAGTAGACGTGTCTTTGAACTAGCTATCCACTTTGACTAGTCGGATCCATATTCACACATAAATCTTCAAATCCTTTATATATATAAGCCGACACATATAAATGGTTTTGCATCTGTACCTTGATTTCATAAGCGCTCTTGAATCAACCCTAGTCTCATAAGAAACGTATTCACTTCCATACTTATATACGTAAACTTAGCTGAAGTGTTCTTGTATTTACGACACTTCATAAGTCTATTAAGAGCTTAATTGTTCAACCTCCTCCTTTAAATATTATAGGTTCCAAATATTTGGGATGGATGTTTGTTATGTTATTTTAGTGCTTGCAATCACAACTTATGATGTACTTTAGTCATTTAACTTGAGGACTTGATATTTTAAGTGTCAAGTCAAGTTTCCACCAAGAGTGATCATTTCAATGGAAGCCTCGTTAGATGAACCTTGTCAAGAATTGTTAGGGACATCATGTCAATAAGAAGTATGAATCAGCACCAATTAACCACCAATTCATGTGCATTCCACAGGTGGAGAGTTTGATCATTTCAAAGATACCTGAACATCTCCATTGGGAGGCAAAGTGAAGCTCCAATCTCACAACCCAATCAATCCATCGTTGATCAGGGTTAATCCATGAGTGAATAGAGTTGGTCCCCTGGTTCCAAGACTTCCAAAATAGTTGGAATTGGTTTAGCATTAGGGTTTCACCCTCATGAACAAGATAGTTGTTTGAGAATCCCTCATAGACAAATGATTTGAAGGAAAGACTAAGAGCAAAATTCCCGCTAGAACTAGGGGTGGGAATCAAGATCCTAGATCTGTTAAGTCATGGGCTGCTTGTCTGATATCAGAAGGAAAATTTTAGATAGAAGGGGATTTCAGATGAAGACGAATATGGAGGATTTTGTTTATTTGGAGCCATTCCAGATAGGATAAGAAGAATCACAAAAGGAAATTGAAGGCAAGAAGTCGAAAACAAATGGAGAAGAATAAAGTGAATAGTTCAGCCATCAAAAAGCTCTTTAAGTAGATGTTTTGAAGGAAATAATGGATTTGACTGTTCATTCATTTGGGTTACTAATTAAACTCAATTAAATAAAGGGGGCATTGTTAAGACATAAAATATCAAATTATATGAATATTCAATGCATCAACATCTGACAATCTAGATGCACTAAGGAGACATCACGTGGCAGAATCTGAAAAAAGGTGGGAGATGATCAACCACAACTATATTTAAAAAAAAAAAGAAATAACTAACTGAAAGTTACCAAGTTAGATTGCCTTCAATGGAGACAAAACCATCGAGGACAATGACTATAAAAAACACGCAGTAGAGAAGATGAAAGATATATTCAAACTCGCATAAGACTTATGATTTGAGCATTTTTAGGAGTAAACTGAAAGTTACCAAGTCAGATAGCCTTCGATGGAGACAAAACCATCGAGGACAATGACTATAAAAGACACGTAGTAGAGAAGATGAAAGATATATTCAAACTCGCACAAGACTTATAATTTGAGCATTTTTAGGAGTAGTTTTAAGTTAGTTTGTGGAGACAGATACTAGTGCATTCAAGGCTATTAATCAATCTTTTCTATAGCTGGGTCCTGAATTAATAAAAGAATTATTTTTTATTAGTTCTCTGCACGGTTTGTTTGTCTATTAAATTTATCCAATGATGTCCTGAAACAAGGCATTGGAATCCCTTGGTAAAAGAATTATTTTTTATTAGTTTGCTATACCGTGTGTTTGTCTATTAAATTCATCCAAACAAATCTTGAAATAAGACATTGGAACTCCTCATAAACAATTACATGAGAACTATATGTCAATTGAAATTTTTCTGTTCATAATAAGAGATTTTTTTAGAGCAACACCACTGCAATGGATAAGGGTTATCTCTTGTGTTGTTACAGTAAAATGTGCCAATTCTTATCTCATAGAATCTGTTTCAGCTGTTTCTTTGTGATTATTAATTTGTTTTGTTTGCTACATTTTTTTGCCTAACAATAATAATTTCTCTTTTTTTCTCCTAAAATTTATTGGACGCTAGTAGTGAATGACGGAAGGGAAGTCAAAGCTAGGCCAACTATTGACTGGATTTTCTAAGAATTCATTTTGAATCTAAATCTGACTAGTTCTATGTGGATTGCTATTCTAGATCAATAATTTGAATATGAATTTTAAATCATTATTATATAATAATAGGTTATACGTATTGATATCTGTTTGCATGATTACAAAAAAGAGAAAAAAAAAGGATGCAAAAGATATATGAGAATGAAAAGAGACCAGCAAGTAAATAAATTATATTATTATTGAGTATAGTCCAAAATTCTGGGTAGTGGAGGGATTTTGAGCGGTTAAGACAACAACAAATATATAAATAAAAGAAATTCCTATACTTTACTAAATCTCTCTCCATTTATAATAGTAACAGATTTAATGAATTCGAGTTTTTATATATTAAGATCTGATCTGAATTACATGACAATATAGGGTTAATTGCATTGCAAGTCCGCAAAATATGAGGTTTGTCTCATTTTGGTTCATAATATTTTAATTGTATCATTTTAGTCCCCGAAATATTGAATATGTTTTTATATGGTCCTTCAAGCAGACAACATACAGATTACTAATGATTTTTTATTATAAACTTATTATGTGATACTTAAATATGGATAAAAAAATAATTTAGATAACTTTTGACCAAATTTTTACTCAAATTTTTGTTAAATAGCTATCTAAATGACATAATTTTGATTATGAACTATCCAAATTTTGGTCAAAAGTTATTCATATTGCACATTTTTCGTCAAGAGCTACCCAAATTTTGTTTAAGAGTTATCAAAGTTATTTTTTGTCTATATATAGATATTACGTGACAAGTTTATAATAAAATATTGTTAGTAATCTGGACGTTATTTGTTGGAGGGATCATATAAAAACATATACAATACTTCAGAGATTAAAATAGTGCAATTAAAATTTTGGGGACCAAAATAAAATAAACCTCATATTTTAGGGACCTATAATGCAATTAACCCTTTGAAGTTATATAGATAGATTTTTATTTTTGATTTTCGAATATTTTGAAATAATAAAATTCATTAAATATTTAAATTATAGCAGGAGGGGTAGTATAGGTATTACACGAAAACAAAGTAAGAATAAGACTAAAACTGCATTTGCTTGTCAGAGTTTATATCCGGAAAAGCATAAATCTATCTACATACAAATCCTTATCTACTCGAAATTGAAAATCTCTCTCTCTCTCTCTCTCTCTCTCAATTGCCTGTAGTGTACAGTATATGTATGATTGCATGCCCACTGCCGTGAACGCAGCAACGCATTGGCTGAGAACTCATTGCTGAGAGTCACGAAGAGAATAGTGAGGAGATAGAGCGACAGGGTGAAGGAGTATTGGTGTCTCCCTCGAAATCCTGAGAGACAATGATGGAGAGAAGCACAAGAAGCGTGTTTATCAACACCATCTTCTTAGTTGCATTACTGTTATCAATGAATAGTTGCGCTTCCGCCAAAGTGCAGCTGTTTTCCCACATTAGCACTAATGTGGACGACAGTTCCCTCATCAGACGGAATCTGCTCGCCAATGGCCTCGGCAAGACTCCTCCCATGGGGTATCCTACCTTCTCTCTCTTCCTCTCTGTCTCTAGATATATACTGTATCTATTTATTGTACTTAAATCTCATATCCAGTATCGATCGTAGGCACCACAGCTTTGTTGTTCCCAATCTGTCCTGTCTTCAGGTAAATAGAGCTAGGCCCTGTAACGGTAAGTGGGTGTGTCGGTAGGAACTGGGAAGGATAGATGCTTCATCGGTGAAAGTGCGTTTCTTCACTGACACTTATCGGCTATTTTTGCTCATAGTAAGAGTATAATCAATTTCACTCATTGCTGTAAAATTTGATTATTCTCCCTTTTCAACTATGTGGAAGCTCAAAATTTGTGTCAATTATGGAAAGAGAGAAAAGAGATGTAATTGCGTTTAATTGTAGTGAGTTGGTTTTATAATTCACCCCTACATTACTTGCGTCTTTATTTCACTTACTCTGTTTCATCCTTACCTTACCTTTATGAGAAAAGGAAAAGTTCTTTAGTTTTAAAGTTTTCGATTCTATAATGACTAACAGCCTAAGAGGTAGGATCAAAACCCATCATAGCTGGGGTGGGTAACAATTGGGTTTTGCGTGGGGGTAGATGGGACAGAGAAGATAAGATGGAGTGAGTTGCTTGTAATTAAAATCACATATTCAGGAGCAAGATATTCCCTTTCCTCTGTTATGAATTTCTGTTTTTGCCAACTTCCATTTCTCCAATTTCAACTTTTCTTTGGGTTAAGCTCCTATATTATCTTCTTACTTCAGGTGGAATAGTTGGAATCATTTTAACTGCAAAATTGATGAGAAAATGATCAGGGAAACTGGTAAGTTTGTTTTTACTCCCATTATTTTCCTTAAATCTTGATTTTTTGTTTCCTACAGTTATTTATTGAATCAAGACCATATGATGATGGTCCTGCATCCAAATTGCTCAAAAGATATGGAAATTTATTGCTTATTTTATTCTTTTATGTCATGAAATTAATTGTCATGATGGAGTCGATATCGTGGATTAAATAATATTAGCTTTCTTAACATTTGGCTGCCGACAAAAGTTCTTAATTGTCACATGCATTTTCAAATATTATTTGATATGCATTTCTTTGTTCTACTGTCTACAGCTGATGCTCTGGTTTCAACTGGTCTTGCTAAGCTTGGATATAAATATGTCAACATAGGTACATCACTACCGTTAGTGACTCTTTCCATTTTTGCTTGGTTATTCATTGTGCTGATTAGAGTAGTTGGCTGAAAACTTCAATACTTGATCTCTTAGATGATTGCTGGGCCGAAATTGCTCGTGATGAAAAGGTTCCTCTCTTCTACTTTGAACAATTATAAAGCGGAATATTTCATTCATGATTTTTATTTGCACGCTAAATGGACATCCAATTGTAGGGTAATCTAGTGCCTAAGAAATCCACATTTCCTTCTGGCATTAAAGCTCTGGCAGACTATGTTCACAGCAAGAGTCTTATGCTTGGTATATACTCAGATGCAGGGTAACATATCTCTACATTTCAGATTTTTTTTTTCACCTTTGATAAGTTGGCATGAAGTTTACACTAGGTGATGGATGTATTTTACCTCTTTTGGCAGGTATTTTACTTGTAGTAAAACTATGCCTGGTTCACTTGGTCACGAGGAACAAGATGCTAAAACCTTTGCTTCATGGGTAGGATATCTAGTTTTCCAAATTTTGTTATGTGAATACAAAATGAGTCCATTCCAGTGGAAAAAACTTTGGGAGCTACAAAAGTTTACTATGAATGCCCATCATAGATTGGTCCTTGAATACTATCTGAAATATCATGAAGTAACATGATTTCTCTGCAGGGTATTGATTATTTGAAGTATGACAACTGCAACAATGATGACTCAAAGCCAACTGTCCGGTAATAAACTAATTATGATCTGAAGTAACACTTGAACATCCTTGGGCTTCACGTCAATATTAGATGTCTTGCAAAGAAATGTTCTGAGATTATGTTCTTTGTGTAGATACCCTATCATGACCAGAGCTCTAATGAAAGCAGGCCATCCCATCTTCTTCTCACTGTGTGAATGGTGATTCTATTTTTCTGCAATCATGTTTTCTCCCATTCTGTAATGAAATCAGTATTGCACTTCTTCTTGGCTTGATAAATTTTCCTTCTTTGTATTAGGGGAGACTTGCACCCAGCTCTTTGGGGTGCTAGGGTAGGAAATAGCTGGAGAACTACTAATGACATCTCTGATACATGGGACAGGTAACATTCCACATTGTGTGGAGTTCCTTTTGGTATCCATGGTCTTAATCTTAATATTTTCATGCAATATTTTGGTTCTTCAACAGTATGGTCTCTAGAGCAGACATGAATGAAGTTTATGCAGAGCTTGCAAGACCTGGTGGCTGGAATGGTTAGTAGTATCCCATAAGTGCAGTTTTGCAATTGTAGCCGGGGGTAGGGGGTTTACTTTTCACCCAACAACAGTGTGGCCACCCCAGCTTGTATACACCGAGGCTTTGCCCTGGGAGAGAAAATAAAACAAGAAAACCAAAAATGCCAAAAAAGGGAAGGACACAGTAGCGACAAACACTATTGCACTATAGTGTGTGTTCATATGATCCAAATCTGAGCCGAATCTTGGAGTTTGAATTCTGGCCCACCACAGTTGCATGAAAGTTGAAACAGAAAAGATCTGAGCATAGGTCACTATGTGCCATCAAAATAAGCAACATTCCACCGTTACCATTTTTAATAAGTCAAAATGGTGTACTTTTGCTTATTATGATGCACATAGTAATGCTGGTTGATTAAGGTGTATCCTTCTCATTTCAGCTTGATTGTGCACTTATGGTGGGACATAATTCTAACTCTTAATTTCAGTCCAGAAATAGATGATTTGGACACACACTATAGTGCCACAATGTCCAACGCCACAATATCCTTCACATTTTTTTTTTTTTAATCTTTTGCCTCTGTGGTTCACTTCTTTCTTTTTCTCTCCCTGGGCAAAGCTCTGTGGACAGCTACTGTGTGCTTATCAAGTTGAATCCTCTGGAACCAAAGTGTGCCACATGTCAACTTGAGTTTTATATACCTTATGAATTGAAATTTTGTTTGGATTGAAAGCAAGTCTATCTTCTCTCAAACAACCACACATTTAAATAATGTCACTCTCTTTTGTCGTGAACTTTGTATTTTTTAAGTCGTCAATCTTACAAAAGCAATTGACAATATCTAGTGATTTTTTTCCTAGTTTAGAAAACCTATTCCATGACATTTTTAATTACGATTAAGCATCTCTTGTTCTCGTGTTTAAATAGAATGGTGGCTTAGGACCTCAAATTAGTTAATCATATTGTTGCCTGATCTTTCTTGGATGATCAACTATATCTAAAACGATCCTAAGTTACAAATTCATTAATTAAAAGAGCTATAGTTTTCTGTGGTCAAGAATCTTCGCTTTTTTTTTTCTTCAAATTTTTAATGTACAAGATGGAGGAGGGGGGATTTGAATCTGGTTGCTCAGGTCGTCACACGTGATATTTTGCTACTAGCTATTTGTGACCCAGAACTTTTCGTCATAATATTACCTATTTTGCACAAGTTTAGAATTGAATCTAGATTTGCTCTAACCTGATATATAATCCTTGTTATTATGTTTGCAACTCATTTTTTATTTGTTTAAAGTGTTGATTTGTTTAGATCCTTGCATCGGTTCCTATGTTAAATAAAGTTATTGAGATTGGACATTGGGTGCTCTAAACTTTGAGTCACTATCTGGATCAGGCATATTGCTCTTCTTTTTCGCAAATTTTATTTTAGTTTAATTTATTTATGTTTCTTCTTTATACTTTGTTTTGTAATTCTTGTAGGTTAAGTCTATACTTTATTCACCAGTTTTATTGATATATATTTCCGTTGGTACTTTTTAGAAGTGTTATTCTTGTTTGTACCATTATTTTATATTTTGAAAATAATAAAGTTATGGATGCTATAAGTTACCAGACACTTCGGCATTTTTGAATTGCATATATAGGCAAGTCTCTTAGTTGTTCAGTTTGGTGCATTTCAAGTTTTTATATCTATTCGCATGGTTTCGTCTTAAAGTTACATTTTTTTTCCATAGATTGTGTTTGAGACCTTTGGGAGGGGGTGTTGAATAGGAATGTGTAAATTTTTTGTGTTAACTTACATTTTGATTCAATCGCCAGGATTTGGTTGTGGTGGTTAGACATGACAGTGCTGTATATAACAGTAGGTGAAGATATCTGCTTAAGAGCTGCTGGTCAAACAGTCTTGTCGACTGGGTCTTCTCCTACCTACTATCTGTTCTTTGTCTGAGTACAATATTTTAAATCTGAAGTACCTAACATCAGATATATGCATTTAGCTTAACCAAATTGATGAATAGATGTAGGACACCAATCAAATAATGCACAAAGCAAATATCTGTAGAACAAAGACTTGTAGTTGGTTCGGCCACCCTAACAGTAGCCTACATCCATTTTTCAACCAAACTAGCTTGAATCACTGCACTAATCTCAATCTTTGCATTCTACCAACTGCAATTGACATACTAATTGTGGTTTTCACTTGGGTCATCACCAACTGTGCTTTAACCTATTGTGTTCATTTCCAATGAACCTTCTCCTTCTCCTTCAAACTAGTTATTTACTTGCAAAAAAAAGAAAGAACTTTTTCCTTCAAACTTTGACCGAGGTCTTTCTAAAGTGTTAGTGCCTAAGCAAACAGATTATTAGTATAAAGAGGTTTTGCAAAGGAGAAAGAGTTTATATCATTTGTGCTTGAATATCCAGAAATATTCCAAACTGGATTCACTCTAAGCCTCACACACTCATAGAGAGAGGGTATTTCTCTGTCAAGTGGTAAACCCAGCAGATTTTTTTTTTTTTTTTGGGTTAACATAGGTAGTAGAGAAACTGGCTCTCTAAATCTTTAATTTGAATTTCTAATTTGGAACTAACTGACTCAATCTCCAAGGTAATTTATCTTTTTTTTTTTAACCTCAACAGTACGAGGGCATAATTTTATTAAATATGAAATAAAAAAGTTAAACCTAGTCCGCGGCCGCGGGGGGGGGGGGGGGATGTAATAAGCCTTACCCCTTAAGTGCATAAAGACTAAAGAAAAGCTATAAAGGACATTACTTCAAGCTTGGATAGAGATGTATGGAAATTCCTCAAATTTTGAAGAGACGATCTTCCAAATATTGCGAGAAATCATCACCTTTGAGTGCAATTTTGTAGTTGTTCATTTAGTACTAGAAGTCTTCCTTGGATTGGAAAATCCTTAAGATCCGTGTAAATCTTTGGCTGAGCGTCCATTACTCCTTTGTTAGCTAAGAAGTCTGCCCTATAATAATAGATGCGTATGCAAGCATCTATTATTAAAGTCAATTATGGTGGAAGCTTTCAAGAGAGAGGATTTGTAAACCAATTTACTTTGTGTCCAAAAATAATGCCAAGGAAAGTGGAGAGATGGGTGAGATGGGAATTTCCTCCTTCGGAGGGAATAAAGATATATGTGGATGGGGCAAGTAGGGGTAATCCCGGTTTATCACGAGGAAGTGTGGTACTTAGAAATTCTCACGGGCAATTAAGTTTTGCTTTGTCCAATTTTTATGGGAGTCTTACTAATACAGTAGCTAAATGCTTGGCGCTAAGGGATGGAGTTAAATTGAAGGATTTTGGACTGATGAACTACACCTTTTTGATAGAATTAGATTATAAAATGTTGGTTGATACGTTGAGTAAGAAGATTGGGATGAATTGGAATCTATGGTATATACAAGGATTGAAATTTCGTTTCGAAGTACCGTTTCGGTCAGCTCAAAAAAGGAAATGTTTCGAAAACGCAGAAAAAATATGGAAACGCATAGAAACACAAATACAATCCATTAATTTATAAAGATATGCTAAATAATTGATTAATTCAACATATTTATTGGGTTAACATCCATTTATACAAGAATAAATTTAAATTTGAGGGAAAAAAAGGTTTGACATAAGGCGAAAGTCACTTAAATTAGTTTCAAACAGTTAATTTTTATGAAATAAACACATTTTTACATAATATTAAGGTCTTATAATACACACGAGTACATACTTACATGGCTACATCCATCCCCCTGTGGAGTGTCAAGCAGGCTCATACATCGGTGTAGGCTCTGGGTAGCTACTTAGAGAAACTCCATATGTGACATAAATATGATGACAATAGTTACTCCAACTCATATTATTACGGTAATATTATCCAATTAATAATATTATTTTATTATAATACTAATAATGAAGGGTATCAAATTAAATTAATGGTACTTATGTATACTTAAAAATTAAATGTAATTGCAGTGGGTATTAAATGTAATTACAGTGGGTATTAAATATAACTACATTAGAGTATTAAATGTAATTGTTAATACTTATAACCAAAAAAAAAAAAAGCAAAAGACTTGCACAGCGGTGAGATATTAAATATAATTACAGTAGGTATTAAATATAATTACAATGGGTATTAAATATAATTATAGTAGGGTATTAAGTGTAATTATTTATTCTTATAACAAAAAAATTATAAAAGACAGAAGAGCATTGAAATTAAATGTAATTATAGTGGGATATTAAATATAATTATAGTGGGTATTAACTGTAATTACAGTGGGTATTAAATGTAATTATAGTGGGGTATTAAATATAATTATTCATAGTGAACTGAATATATCACTATTTTGTCGAAACGGTACTGTTTTGATCAAAACGGTCCGAAGCAGTGCTGTTTCGACAGAAACACTGGAATTTTGTGATTCAACGACTGTTTCGTTTCGGAGTGTTGAAATTCTGAAACGTTTCGGACGTGTCGACACGACATCTTGATTCTTGGGTATATATGGGATGAGATATCAAATCTTCTTAGAGGAATTAATGTATGCCATTTACCGATGCCTGGGTGCGGTGATAAATGGGCAAGAGTCTCCGCACCATTGACGGATGTGGGGGTAAGGAAGTTGGTCCATGTTGATAGACTTAGATTAACAATATGGAACATAGGTACACCCTCCAAAAAAACAATGAAATTAGTAGACACTAGGATTAGGAGAAAAATTAGTATAACGTGCTTACAAGAAACTAAGTGGGTAGGTGAGAAGACAAAGGAGATAGAAAATACAGGATCTAAGATTTACTATATAGGAAAGGATAGACGATGAAATGGCGTAGGAATAGTTGTAGATAAAGGTCTAAAAGATAACGTAAGAGCAGTTACAAAGAAAAGAGATAGGATTATATCTATCCAACTTGTAGTCAGAGAGAATATAATTAATGTGATTAGCGCTAATGCACCCTAAGTAGGGTTATAGGAACATATTAAAAAGTATTTTTGGGAGCAAATGAATGAATTAGTGCAATATATACCTATAGGAGATAAGATAATCATAGGTGGAGATTTCAATGGACACGTTGGAAAAGATAGGACACAAAATAAGAGGGTGCATGGTGTTTATGAATATGATGATTTTAATGAAGCCAAAGAGAGTATTTTAGAGTTTGCAATGGCATATGACCTTGTAGTGGCAAACACTTTGCTTAGAAAACGAGAAGAACATATAATAATCTTTAAGAACGGACCAAACAAAAGCCAAGTAGACTACTTCTTAAGTAGAACAACAGATAGATTAGCATATAAAGATTGTAAGGTTATTCTGGGGAGAACTCAACATCTCAATGTAGGTTAACAATCCTAGATTTATATATTAAAGGGCAATATAGAGTAAGAAGAAGCATTAAAAAATAAAAACGAGATGGTGGAATTTAAAAAATGAGAAACTAGTACTATTTAGGAGTATAATGCTTAATGAGTCCTTATGAAACTTAGAAGATGAGATTAACGTTATGTAGAATAAGATGACGGAAGACATTAGGAAAAATTGATATAGGTTCTTGGGGAGTCAAAAGATAGAGGGCTTGTGGGAAAAGAAACTTGGTGGTGGAATGACGACGTACACGATGTAGGTAAAGTAAAGAAAGCATTCTTTAAGATATGGCAAAATGATAGAAATAACGAGAACTTCTAAAAATATAATTTATCTAACAAGGAGGTTAAAAAGTTAGTTAGAGATGCTAAGTTAATTGCCTACGACGAGTTATATAAAAAATTAGATAGTAAAGAGGGATATAATTTCTCTTAATGGTATTAGAAATAAGGGTAGGCCTAAATTAATATTGAACGAAATAATAAAAAAATATATGAAAATATTTAACTTAAATGAGCATATAGCGCATGATCGAAATAAATGGCAAAGACGGACTCATATAACCGATTCCAAATGATTGAGACATAATGTTTGGTTTGGTATCTTGACCATATTCAAGATATAAAGGCACAATCAATAAAAAGATGTTGATTAGATTCCTCATACCTGCCGCATATTGAACAACAACTGGGGAATATGAAACCCAAACGTTTGACATTATCATCTGAAGGCATAACCTTCTTTCACGTGTTCCAAACATGCAGATTTGCCCTAGGTTTAGCATGTTGATCCTAAATACATTTAGTAATCTCTAATTTCTTGTGCTTACATCTCGTAATCTCCCAAGCAGATTTTCCAGTAAAATTACCATTTGATTCAAGAAACCAAATCAACTTGTCCCTTTTGTTGGAGATTAAAACCCTAGACGTTAGAATCAGTTGCACTAAATGATCATTAAGAAAAGGAGAAACAGTGGACAAGTCCTAAAGATCACCACATAAAATAGTAGACAAGTGAGGAAAAACTTGGGGAGAATTTTCCACTTACAAAATTAAGGGACCACTACCCAATCAGTTATCACACCAAAAATCAATGTCATGACCACTACCCACCAACATCTTGGATTGAGAAATAGTAGGTTCAAACCACGGTTGTAAACTTCGAAAGATTTTAGAATGAGACCTGCTACTTCGTCTAATTGGGTGAGAGTTATTTAAGTATTTAGATTTGAAACTCAAGCCCACAGCGAATCGCCTTTCAGTAACCCCCATACCTGCTTCATTCTAAATGCTGCTAATTTCATATTTTGTTTTACTTAGTTGGAGGCAATAATTTACAGTTGAGAATGAACATGCAAAATTTGTATATTAGTTGTAGCTTGGTAAAACAGATATTTATTTTTTCTGTTTTCCAACTAAATTTTGTGATTGTTTTTTATGACTTTTCTGTTAGCTTCTTTATGATTTTATCTGTACAGATCCGGATATGCTTGAAGTGGGAAATGGGGGGATGACGAAAGATGAATATATTGTCCATTTTAGCATTTGGGCCATTTCCAAGGTCTCTCTCTCTCTCTCTCTCTCGTGTAACCAAAATCTTTTCTTCATACATATCAGGGCCTTCTGTTCCGCCCTTGATGGTACCTACTTGTTTCTTGGAATATATTTTGCTTTCTAATTGCCTTTATAATTGCAGGCTCCCCTTCTCATTGGCTGTGATGTGAGAAATGCATCAAAAGAGACCATGGAAATCATCTCTAATAAAGAGGTGATTGCTGTAAACCAAGGTAAGCACTTTTTTCTTTTATTTTATTTTTGTTGTTTTTTTTTCGTTTTTTTTTTGGGGGGGAGGTTGGGGGGGGGGGGGGGTGTTTGTTTTTGGGGGGAGGGAGGAAAGGTAGAATCAGTGATTTTCCACACACTTACATTTTGCTGGTCATTGGAATAGATCCACTTGGTGTTCAAGCTAAAAAGGTTAGGATGGAAGGTGATCTTGAGGTAATTTTGCCAACATTGTCTTCTGACTCTTCTGTTACCTGTTTAAAAATGCAAAATATTATCTGCATTTTCTTTTACAGGTCTGGGCTGGGCCTCTTTCAAACTATAGAGTAGCTGTGCTCCTTGTCAACCGTGGCTCTTGGCGTACTTCCATCACAGCTCACTGGGATGACATTGGAATTCCTCCTGCCAGTGTTGTGATTGCAAGAGACATTTGGGAGGTATTCATATATCACTGACCTTGGTTTAGACCCAAATTATCTTTTTGCAATGTGTATCTTGCTGGTGTTTCTCATACGATTCAATGCAGCATTTCTACTGTGGAGTGAGTTTAATATGTTGTTGTCTCTTCTGCAGCGCAAAACATTGAAGGCGCTATTTGTAGGGAACTTGACATCCACCATGGATTCTCATGCATGCAAGATGTATATATTGAAGCCTATATCCTGAGGTTTTTGATCTGTATGCAACTTGTAGTGGAATCCTTGAAGTGCCAGTGGGTTTTTTTAGTTTCTTCGGTTTGTATGCCCATTAAGCCAATGTCACTTAATCGTTTATTATGGAATAAATTTGTCACTTCCAATTTATGGTACAATTTAGTTACTAATAGCACAGGGGAAATAAGAGGGAAAGTAAGGTTCCCTTTAACATGAGTGTTTATATAAAATGACTTTGGTTCTTGTAATGGTTGCACAACTGGATTATATCCCTGTTTTGCACTTTTAATAGAGGCAAGCTGCCTATAGATTTTTATTTGTCATGAAACTGTAACGTCTCAAAACACACCCTGGACGGCATTATATTCTAAAATTATTCATATCATGAGAGCATTAATATAATCCCTTAAGAAACAAAACTTTATTTGTCATCTACGAATATTTATAACATTATCAAAAGAATAAGTCCAAGTCATGACTATTACATCTCAAAAATTAATTAAAGAAGCGCAGCGGAATAAACAAAAGAAGTTAGATTACACAATGTTCCAAAAGAATATCATAATCTAGTACAAAAGGAAAGGAGGTCGCTCCATGCGTCCACCTCGGAATCCACACTCCCGTCCAGTGGAGTCTCCTAAGTAGCGGGCTGCTCGACTTTTACGTCCTCTTCCTCAAGTGGGTAATCTGAAAAATGTTAGCGATAGGGGGTGAGCACAAAGCTCTGTAGAAAAATTCTCCCAAACACATACAAGGTTTAGAAAAACATTTAAAACGGTCGGTCTCAATTTTAACATAACAAAGATACATAATTTGAAATAAAGCAGTGACATTTAAAAAGGATCTCAAGTTTATTTAAAAACATTACTTAAATGAATAAACGAGCACCACATACAAATAATAACCATTAATTGTGATAATCAATTCCCAACAATTCTTTCGGTAGGTGGCATACTTTGTGGTAACCTCCACCCCCCTTTAGGTCACCTTTGATTCTCACACATTCTTACCAGGAATCTCTTGAAAATAGATGAGCATCCTTACATGGAATCTCTCACCAATCACTACATTTTTTTCAAGCATTATTACCAGAAACCTCTTGGGAAGGGGTGAACATCCTTACAAGGAACCTCTCACTCATGTTCATCACAAACAACCCAACTAAGTATACAATTCTAACATTTATCTCAATTTACAAGCATCTATCCAAAATCCCCAAAATATATTATATAACAATTCCACAACCAACTAACAAAATACATGAGATCACAATAACATCATTTTTCTACCCAACACAAAGCACTAAGATTTCGAAATTTATAATAAAGAAAGCATTTAGGAAGGAAATACATCATTCTCCAAAAATTAGGGTTTTAAAACTAGAAAGGAGATTTCATGGGTATTAAACCCTACTTTGTTCAAAACATGTAATCCTTGCAAAAAGTCTAAGAGAGGATGATTCCATAGCATGTATATATCATTGATAGCCAAAACATACATATATAAATACCCTACCTCAATGTAAGTGAATGAGAGAAAACCCCTACCTTGAATCATTAGCTTTGGAGTGAAGAACAAAAATATTTGATCTTGAATCACCCTTGAATTTCTTGTTTTTCCTTCCTTTCTTCTTCTCTAATGCCCTCTAGGGTTTCAAGAGGTGTAGGGAAGTGAAGGGAGTGAAGGAAATGAGAGCAAATGAGATGAAAATGAGTTTAAAACATAGCAGCCCCAAAAAATATTATTCACAGGTTGTTTTGGGTTTCTCCAAATTTATGGTTTTACCACTAAAAATCTCCAATTTGATCCATATGACTACCCTAAGGTTTGTCGACGTTCGAATTCATTTTTAATGTTATTTTAACCTAAAAACATTTATTTTTATGATTTATCTCAAAACCAAGTCAACGTACACCCGAAACACTAAAATTTCTATTTTACCCATCCGAATCGGCTATTAATGAAGTTTTACGATGTTTGCAAATAAAAGGTGATAAAAGGGTGTTTTTCAAAGCCTTTTATACTTATTTGAAGCCTAAAATTACTCATTATTCTTATATTTTGATTTAGGATGCAAATGGAGACATTAAATGCAAAACGAAGCTAATTGGACTATTTCGACATCATTTCGTTATCTGAGCATAACTCTCTCATCCAAGCTCCGAATGAGATGATTCAAGATGATACGGAATGATACGAAAGAGCTCTAAAACTTTCATGTTTTGAGTTTTGAAAGATATTGACTGCATCAAAGTCTAAATCGAACTTGAAGTTGCAGTAGTGCTTTGTTCACGTGCACTGTTCACAGTCTGTCTTCGTTCCTTTTCCATTTTCAATCCATTCCTAAGCCAATCAAATCCATCACAAACCTCTCCACCACATATTACTACACCAAACCTATTTAATACAAGTTCTAGGACCTAAAATTTCATATTTTCACTTATTAAAACCAAATTTCAACTATTATTTTCACTAACATTTTAAATCTCTATTTTTCCAATCTACCAAATTCAAACACACATCACTACATATATCCACATTTTTTTATCACAATTATTTACTATATATCTATATACATATATAAAAGAAAATACGGGGTGTTACAATCCACCCCCCTTAAAGAAAGTTTTGTCCTCGAAACTTATCTCAAGTAGTGAAGAAATATGGATACTTCTCCCGCATTTCTTGCTCTGGTTCCCATGTAGTTTCCTCTACTCCATGGTGTTGCCATAAAACCTTCACCAATCTGATAACTTTGTTGCGAAGCACTTTTTTCTGGGCGTCGAGAATTTCTACAGGTTGTTTTTCGTAGGTTGCTCCGTCTTGAATTTCAATCTCCTCCAAGTTCACGACTGGAGTTGCATCCGAGTAACACCTTCTCAACATGGACACGTGGAACACATCATGTACTCCGGATAGCTGGGCTGGTAGTTGAAGTTGATATGCCGCCTTGCCTACCACTTTAATTACCTCAAACGGTCCGGTATATCTTGGCGCTAACTTCCCCTTCTTGCCGAATCGAAACACGCCTTTCTTGGGTGATACCTTGAGAAATACGTAGTCTCCCACCTTGAATTATAAGGGTCTTCATCTGTGGTCCGCATAGCTCTTCTGTCTACTTTGTATCGTCCGTAGCCTCTCTCGGATTAGTTGAATCTTCTCTGTATTTTCTCGAACAATGTCCGGTCCAACAAACTACTCTCGCCGGCTTCTAACCAACACGTCGGTGATTGGCATGGTCTTCCATACAATATTTCATACAGTGTCATCCCAATACTTTCTTGATAACTGTTGTTGTAAGCAAACTCCACCAACGGTAAGTGGCGCTCCAACTCCCCTTGAAGTCCAACGCGCAAACGCGTAACATATCCTCCACAATCTGTATCACCCTCTCGGATTGGCCATCCATTTGGGGATGAAAAGCCGTACTAAAGTGTAATTCCGTCTCCATCGCTTGTTGTAGACTCTGCCAGAATCTCGCCACAAACCTAGAGTCACGATCCGACACAATTGAGAGCAGAATGCCGTGTAACCTCACTATCTCACGGATATACAGCTGGTCAAAGTCTCGAATGTATCCGTGGTCTTCATACCCAAAAAATGAGCGGACTTGGTGAGTCTATCCACAATGACCCACACTGCATTATGCCTTCACGACGTCTGTGGTAAACCCGACACGAAGTCCATGGTGATGTGATCCCACTTCCACTCTAGAATAGGCAAAGACTGTAGGACTCCTCCTAGCCTTTGATGCTCAATCTTCACCTGCTGGCACACTACACATTTTTTCACATACTTGGCCACATCTCGCTTCATTCCCCTCCACCAGTATTGACGCTTCATATCCCTATACATCTTTGTGCTACCAGGGTGGATAGCAAACTTGGAGCGATGACACTCTCCTAGTATCTCCTCCTTTAGGGACGAATCATCGGGAACACATAGTTTCTCCCCATATCTCAACTCTCCATTCTTTCAAGACCATCCTTCAATCGCCTCTCCATTCTCCAATCGGGCTCTAATCCAATCGAGTTCTGAATCCAGGCATTGCAACTCCACTACCCGTCGCCGAAGCGTCGGTTAAGCTACAAGGTTGAATAGATATGGTTGATACTCTGGTCCATCCACCCATAGATCGTACTCCTCCAATGCATCAATCATTTTTCACCTATTTATCGCAAGAAAATTGATTTCACCCCGAGACTTCCTGCTAAGAGCGCCGACAACTACATTGGCCTTCCCCGGATGGTAGTTGAGCGTGAACTCATAATCTTCCAAGTACTCAATCCACCTTCTTTACTGGAGATTCAAGTCTTTCTGTGTGAAGATATACTTGAGGCTTTTATGGTCCGAGAACACTTGAAATTTCTCCCCGTATAAATAACATCTCCACAACTTAAAAGCAAACACCACTGTAGTCAGCTCCAAGTCGTGTGTGGGATAATTCTACTCATGCACCTTGAGTTGCCTCGAGTCATACGCCACTACCTTCCCTCCTTGCATTAGAACGCATCCCAAGCCTCGTAGTGAAGCATCGGTGTAGACATCGTAGCCTTCCCCACTACTCGGAATAATGAGGATAGGTGTCGTCGTCAACTTCTCCTTCAAGGTGCGAAAAGCTAGTTCACACACTTGAGTCTACAAAAATTTCTCCCCCTTCTTTGTAAGGCGAGTCATCGGCATCGCAAGCTTGGAGAATCCTTCCACAAACCTACGATAATAGTCGACTAATCCCAAGAAACTCCATACTTTCGTTACGTTCTTCGGTGGTTCCCATTTCATCACGGCCTCAATCTTTGCGGGATCAACCGTTACTCCTTGCTCAAACACAACATGGCCAAGGAACTTCACTTCCTTCATCCAAAACTCACACTTGCTCATCTTCGCATATAACTTATGTTCTCTAAATGTTTGTAGCACAATAGAGAGATGACGAGCATGTTCCTCCTGAGTCTGAGTAAATCAATATGTCATCAATAAACACAATGACAAATTGATCGAGGTAAGGCCAGA